CCCACAAAGGGAAAACGTGATGTAATGTCTCTAGTGAAGCAGAAATGTTATGCTTATAGGAATTGAAGAAATTAAAAGTTTATTACAGTTCAGAAAAAAAAATGAAAAAAAATAAAATGCTGTATTTGACACTAGTTAGTTATAGATAAAGTATACTTATCTACAGGTCAAGTATTTGTAGGGAGAAAAGAAAAAAATGATATTATTTTGAAGTATTCTCTTATCAATTTATAAATTCTATTTGTTACAAGGTATTGTCTTTGTTGAGGAAGCTTGTTTGTGTATGTAATGATGTTTAGTAGCTTCCTTAATAGCTGCCATTAATACCTGTCCAATTTTTTTTCTTGTTTTTTTTTTTTTGGGGGGGGGGTCCGGTGGTGGGGCCTGAACTCTGGGCCTGGGTGCTGTCCCTCAGCTTTTCAGCTCAAGGCTGTGCTTTACTACTTGAGCCACAGCACCACTTCTGGCTTTTTTCTTTTTGCTTATGTGGTGCTGAGGAATCGAACCCAGGGCCTCAGGCATGCAAGGCAAGCACTCTACCACTGAGCCACCTTCCCAGCCCTCACTTGTCCAGTTTTAACACTGACCCAGCACTGACCTGGAACTCACCCTGGTTCACAACTACTTTTTGTTTTGTTTTTGTTGGTCATGGGGTTTGAACTTTGGGCCTGGGCACTGTCCCTGAGCTCTTCAGCTCAGTGCTACTGCCCTATCACTTGAGCCACAATGCCACTTCTGGTTTCCTGGTGGTAAATTGGAGATAAAAGTCTCATGGACTTTACTGCCTGTGCTGGCTTTGAACTGCGATCCTCAGATCTCAGCCTCCTGGGTAGCTAGAATTACAGACGTGAACCACCAGTGCCTGACTGAGAACTACTTTTTAACTGAAGCACCAAGTTATTATGATTCCCCCTCCACCATATCTCACTGAAGTAATTGTGGAGATGGACCCTTTGGCTCTGGTTAGTAAGATGGGAGAGGAGAAATACTAAATAGGGCTAGAAAAGACTATATTCTCCTTTCCAGAGAATGCAGTGAGCCCAGCTGGGTAAAAAATTTCACGTGTGTGTATGTGTGTGTGTGTGTGCTGGTCCTGAGGCTTGAACTCAGTGCCTACCTGAGCACTATCCTTGAGCTTTTGTTCTTAAGGCTCTCTACCACTTGAGCCACAGCTCCACATCTAGCTTTTTAGTGGTTAATTAAAGTCTCATAGATTTTCCTGTCTGGGCTGGCTTCAAACTGTGATGCTCAGATATCAATCTCCTGAGTAGCATGAGCCACCAGTACCCAGCTAAAATTTCACTTTTTGACTCAAATCACTATAAGACTTTCTCTTCCCTAAGAGGAATTCATAGAACTTTCTCTGACATATCTATTTCCACTGTACAGATGTAAAGAGATGGTAAATGTTAGACATTTTTGGTCTTTGTTTTTCAATTATAATCTAAGAGTCCTGAATGTTGAATATATGATTTTACATTATCAAGTAGGATCTAGAAATATATCTTCCAAGAATGTATTCTGCAATATTACAAGGGGGAAAGGTACTGAATCAGTTCCTTTATTTTCGAGAACCCATGCTTTGGGCACATAAGTACAAGGGAGTCCTGCCCTCTGGGAGTTTACATACTGTCTACAAAGTTTCTAGCATAGTTACGTCAACAAGGGTCTGTGTTGCCTAAGGGAGGGGGAAGATCAGGAAAGTTTTTTACCTTTAGAATTTACTATGATTTTTATTTACAATTAAGCTTTTGAAGCAACCATAATGTTCTATTCTCCAAGCATGGAATCACAGGCAAAACTTCTATTTAAAATTTATTTATTTATTTTGTCGGTCACGAGGCTTGAACTCTGGGCCTGGGCACTGTCCCTAGGCTCTTCAGCTCAAGGCTAGCACTCTACCAGTTGAGCCACAGCACTACTTCCGGTTTTCTGAGTTGTTTATTGGAAATAAGAGTCTCACAGACTTTTCCTGCCCGGGCTGGCTTTGAACTGTGATCCCCAGATCTCACCCTCCTGAGTAGCTAGGATTACAAGCATGAACCACTGGTGCTCGGCCTATTTAAAAATGTTTAAAGAGAGATACAACAGTACATACACAGAACACTATAAAACCTCACTGTGGCAGATTCAGAGACTTACATGTCACTTTACTCAAGTTTAATCAAGCTCTGAGAAATTAATTTGGATAAAGCAACCTTATTATTCAACCCAGTGAATGGAAGCTGATTTATACATGATGCTCTGAATTTATTGCCAAAGATTGTATAGCTAATATTAGTGTCACTCATGTGCCTTAGGCAATTGCTTCTAATTGTTTTGAGAGATCTTTTGGGTAATGAAAAGGATAATTTAGTATGGACTCAGAGTGTAGGTCATTTATGTTTAGAAAGGATATGCAGAATTTAGGTCTGCTAAGATACACTTTCTGAAGGCAGTGATCTTACTATGTATCTTAAGAGGTCAGTACAGGGCTGGGAATGTAGCTTAGTGGTAAAGTGCTTGCTTAGCATGCACAAAGCTCTATGTTTGATTCCTCAGTACCACATAAACAGAAAAAGCTGGAAGTGGTGCTGTGGCTCAAGTGGTAGAGTACTAGCCTTGAGCAGAAGCAGCTCAGGAACAATGCCCAGGCCCTGAGTTAAAGCCCCAGGATTTTTTTTTTTTTTAAGAGGCCAGAACAGGTATGGCACATGTAACTCCAGCTACTTTGTAGGCAAAGGCAAAAAGATCTTGAGGTATGGGATTCTATATAACAAACAAAATTAAAATAAAAGGGTATATTTAGAACTAGAGCCTGGGTTCATTAAGCCCTAGCAAAAAAATAAAAAGGCTATTAGAGGTAAGCAGTCTGTTGGAGTGCTATTTCTCTATTCCTCCCTCGGGCCCCCCCCACCCCCCCCAGTGCAGTGCTGATGATCAGATGCAGGGCCTTGCAGCTGCTTGGTAAGTGCTCCCCCACTATAAGTATTCATCCCCACTGCACTGAATTATCTTTGGTTCTATTGGGGATTGAACCTAGGTCCTAGCACTCCTTGAAACACACCTCTAGCTTGAACTAAGAGGTTTTTTTTTTTTCTTTTTTCATTTGTGGGGCTTGAACTTAGGGCCTAGGCACTATCCATGAGCTTTTGTGCTCAGGGCTAGTACTCTACCACTTTTGAGCCACAGCTCCACTTTTGGTTTTCTGAATGGTTAATTGGCGATAAGAGTCTAACTTTCTTGCTAGGTCTGGCTTTAAAGTGAGATCCTCAGATCTCAGCCTCCTGAGTAGGTAGGATTACAGGTGTGAGCCACCAGTGTTCAGCTCAAACTAAGAGTTTTAGTTGCTCTGGTCATGCGTATTTGGTCCTAGTTATTAAAATTAGTTACCTTGGACTGGGAAGCTGGCTCAGTGTTAAGAGTACTTGCCTAGCATGCATGAAGCCCTGGGTTTGATTCCTCAGTACCACATACACAGAAAAAGCCAGAAGTGGTGCTGTGCTCAAGTGGTAGAGTGCTAGCCTTGACCAAAAAGCAGCTCAGGGACAGTGACTAGGCCTTGAGTTCAAGCCCCAGGACTGGCAAAACAAACAAAATTTCACCTCTTTCCTGGACAGATTGGGATGTTTACTTTTGGTTTTGGTGCTGGTCCTGGGGCTTAAACTCAGCAGGATAGTGCTCTAATACTTGAACTACAGCTCTATTTCCAGCTTTTTGATGGCTAATTGGAGATTAGAATCTTATGGGCTTTCCGGCCCCCAAGATCCTCAGATCTCTGCCTCCTGAATAGCTAGGATTACAGGTGTGAGCCACTGTGCCTGGCCTGATTCTTATTCAGATACTGTGGTTCTAGATTTTTTGTCTAGAAGGACCCCCACCCTTCAGTTATGACAGCATCACCTGGCATATGACACTTGGGTTAGATTTTTTAAGTTTCTCTTTTGAAACCTGGGAGCCACCATGGTCTCTTTAGTGATCATCTCATAGGGTGACTTTGTCTTTCATAAATCTTCCCCCAAGCTTTGTGAAGATTCTTGTTTTACGCTTTCCACGTTACTGGCTTCCGGCACAAGTAGGTAGGGACATTTGAATTGTGGTGGTTTATATGTTGACATTCAGAGTTTGTCTTCTCTCTCACCCAGTACTGGGGCTTGAAGACTGAGCTTGGATGCTGTCCTTATCATTTTTGCTGAAGGATGGTGCTCTACCACTTGAGCCAAAGCTTCACTTCTGTCTTTTTGGTGGTGAACTGAAGAATGTGTCCCGCGGATTTTCTTACACAGCTTAGCTTTGAACCGTGATTCTGAGATCTCTGTCTCCCGAGTAGCTAGGATTTACCGGGCTCCAGGAGGTAAAGACAGGTGTCAAGCTCTTAATGCAGAAAAAGAGATGGGCTGAGTATTCATAGGGTTGTAAGCCTGAGGGAGCTAGTGGCAGGGTTGGTGTAGGTATCCAAGTCGGGACAGACTCCTCAACTCGAGGACTCATTGTTTGCTTTCCCCTCTGCCCCTGAAGCTGCCGTTAGTACGGGAAGTCGGTTGACTTCCACACTTCCGGACCCTCTCTTAAGATCTCTGGAGTCTTCGATTACGTCCTGACGCGAAGCTGGCAGGCCACAGGTTCAGCCCAGAGCCCCCAGCTAACCCACATGGGAACGAGCGACAACGCTTAGGCCTGCTGGCCCACCAGCTTCCTCCCCGGAGGCAGGTACTGAGGAGGAGGGGGATGACTCCCCCGCGCCAGCAAGGACGGGGCGCCCTCTCAGACTGTTGGGCTTCCCCTTAATTTCTCTTATGTCTCTCGCCAGTTTCTCTTTCTTCTTTGTGGCTTCCCAACGCAGGGAGCCCCCAGAAAACCCTCTCTGGCCCGAGCCAGGCCCCGGAGTCCCTAGCCGAGGAGCTTCCCGGGACTGGGCGGCCAGGGCTCCCGCCCGAAGGCGTGCCCCGCCCCCTGCCAGCATTCTGGCCGCTCCGCCCCCCCTGCGCCCTACGTCACGTCCGGTCCGGCCCCCACCCGCCCTCCGCCCTGAGCTCTCCTCCCGCTCGCCGTTAGGGAGGCTCCGCGCCTCAGCTGCTGCCTGGGTTGCCGCTCCCGCCCCTTTTCCCGCGTCTCCTCCGCCGCCGCCGCTGGGGATATCCGAGGGTCGTTACCGGGCTGGCCCCGCGCCACAGCCGTCGCTCTATCTTTCCGCCAGCGGCCGCCTCAGGAAGAGACTCGCTGGCCGCGGAGCCTGTTAGGGCCTCAGTTCTCGCCCTTTTGCCGTCGCCGCGGGTCCTGGAGAAGCGGCCGAGGCCGGGGGACGGGGCTTCGCTGTTCCAACGGTGGGTAAGCGGGCGGGTACCCGGGTCTGCGCATGCGCGCGGTGCCGGTCGCCGCGGCCCTCCCTACCCCCGCAACCCCCACCTCGCCCGCACCGCTCCGGAGGCTTCACCTTTTGGGGTGCGGAGTGCCGGCGGTTACAGCCCTGTGGTGGGGCGTGAAGAAGGGCCTCCTTTCTCGTGGAAAGAGAGGTAGAAGAAGCCGTGACCCTGGGGCGGGGGTGTGGCCGGCTTCTATTTTCAGGCGCTGCAGTGCGCGTGAGCGGCGGTGCCCCTCGCCTCCGGCTCCCCGCGAAGTAGAAGGCGCAGCGCCCCCCACCTCCGCCACCTCCGCGCTCACTTCCTTCATGCTGGGCCTTGAACTTAATGCCGGAAAAAAAAAAAAAAAGTGTGGTTTATTCCGGGCTCAGCTGCGCCCCTTGTTAAGGTCACGTGAAAGGAGTGGTTGCTGACTTCCTTAAATCCCCCAGAGATTATCGCCAAAATTGGGCTGTTGGTGCACCGGGGCCTCATCTAGAGTGCAGTGTGTGGCTGGAGGGGGTCACCTCCTGGGGCATTAAGTTGCAGATGGGGGGGGGGGAACCTGGTTTCCTAGGTAAGGCTGTAGGAAATTGAAACGGTTGGCGTACTTGCCCAGTGGGGATTTTTTAAACTTTTTTTTTTTTTTTGTTTATCATCAATTAAAAATTAAACGGATTTAGGAAAAACCTTTGTGTAATTTCATGTGGCTCTCTCTTCATTATGCCTCTAATTGAGAAAAAGACAGTAACCGTACTTGGGAATAGCTAAACTAAAAAAAAAAAAATGGCACCCAAAACTGCAGCTATTTACCTAAATTAACAGGTGCACTTGTTTATAAAAAAGTCAGGCATTTTTAGATAATTTTAAATTAATTGAAAGGGTTAATTTTTTTTTTTAGCGTTTTTTATTATTTAAATAGTTGTACAAAGAAGTTCCCATTCTACAAAACAGTATATGAATACAAAGTGTCTGACAACATTGTCACCCATCCTTCCTAACCTATCCTGGAAGGGTTAATAATAAGTTGTGCCTTCAACTCTCCTTGAAATACTTGTTGGTTTAGGTGTCTTTTTTTTTTTTTTTTTTGGGTCCGGTTGTGGGGCCTGAACTCTGGGCCTGGGCGCTGTCCCTCAGCTCTTCAGCTCAAGGCTAGCCCTCTACCACTTGAGCCACAGCGCCACTTCCGGCTTTTTTCTTTTTGTGTATGTGGTGCTGGGGAATCAAACCCAGGGCCTCAGGCATGCAAGGCAAGCGCTCTACCACTGAGCTACCTTCCCAGCCCTGGTTTAGGTGTCTTAGAAGTACAGTATGGTAGATACTTGTTGAAAGGGATTGAATGAGCTGGTCATGATTATTGGATACCTCCTTTTATTCTTTTTTGGTGTCAATATTCGGGCTTAACCAGATTCTGGGCCCTGCCCTTTAGTTTTTTCCAGCTTAAGGCTAACACTCTACCACTTGAACTTCAGCTCCACTTCCAGCTTTTTCTGGTTAATGGGTGATGAGTCTCACAGACTTTACTCTTGAACTGAGATCTGAGGATCTCAGTCTCCTGAGTAGCTAGTATTACAGGCCTGAGCCACTGACACCTGGCTTCCCTTTACTTTCTTAATCTGGACTTAAAAAAAAAATTTAGGGTATGTTTTTCTCCAGTTGTTTCACCAGGTACATCTCTGCATGACACAGTTTAAGTCCTTTTCATTTGTAGGAAGGTATATTACAGTGGCAGGAAGCTTTTCACTCGATTAAGTAATCATTACACTTTTTTTTTTTGAATGTTCTTTCTTTTTATTTTTTATTTTTTTATTTTTGGGTTCGGTCGTGGGGCCTGAACTGTGGGCCTGGGCGCTGTCCCTCAGCTCTTCAGCTCAAGGCTAGCAGTCTACCACTTGAGCCACAGCGCCACTTCTGGCTTTTTTTCTTTTTTGGTGCTGAGGAATCGAATCCAGGGCCTCAGGCATGCAAGGCAAGCGCTCTACCACTGAGCCACCTTCTCAGCCCCTGAATGTTCTTTCTTAGGACAGAAAATGGCTGAACTGAATATATAGTGAATTAGTATTTCCCCCTCCCCCCCAGTAAAATGACACATTATTTACAAATAACTTCAGTTCATCTGTGCCTGAATCATTTATTGTACACCAGTTTTTAAATGGGGAGTATACTAGTATAAATTACTTCATTAATTTTTTTTTCTTTTTGGCTGGTTCTGTGGCTTAAACTCTAGGTGTGGGCAGTCACTGAACTTTGCTTAAGGCTAGTGCTCTACCACTTGAGCCATAGCACGACTTCTAGCTTTTTCTGTGATTAATTATGGACTTTCCTTGCCAGGGCTGGCTTTGAACCTTGATCCTAATATCTCAGCCTAACTGAATAGCTCAGCCTAGGATTATAGGCATGAGCCACTGGTGTCCAGCTTCTATTATTTTTTTGTTGTTCAGTTATGGGGCTTGAGTGCTCAGGTCTGAGCACTGTCCCTAAGCTTTTTTGCTCAAGGCTAGTGCTCTACTGCTTTGAGCCACAGCTCCACTTCTGGTTTTCTGGTGGTGAATTAGAGATTATAGAGTCTTGGACTTTTCTGCGGGAACTGGCTTTGAATCACCCTCAGATCTTTTTTTTTTTTTTTTTTTGGGTTCGGTCGTGGGGCCTGAACTCTGGGCCTGGCTGCTGTCCCTCAGCTCTTCAGCTCAAGGCTAGCGTTCTACCACTTGAGCCACAGCACTACTTCCGGCTTTTTCTTTTTGCTTATGTGGTGCTGAGGAATGGAACCCAGGGCCTCTTTTTTTTTTTTTTTTTTTTCTTTTTTTTTTTGGGGGGGGGTCCGGTCGTGGGGCCTGAACTCTGGGCCTGGGCGCTGTCCCTCAGCTCTTCAGCTCAAGGCTAGTGCTCTACCACTTGAGCCATAGCGCCACTTCCGGCTTTTTTCTTTTTGGTTATGTGGTGCTGAGGAATCGAACCCAGGGCCTCAGGCATGCAAGGCATGCGCTCTACCACTGAGCCACCTTCCCAGCCCCAGGAACCCAGGGCCTCATGCATGCAAGGCAAGCGCTCTACCACTGAGCCACCTTCCCAGCCCCTCATCCTCAGATCTTACAGATCTGTCTCCTGAGTAGCTAGGATTACAGGAGTGAACAACCAGTGCCTGGCTTAAAAAAATCTTTTTACATCACATTGTTATTTATCCATTCATCTGTTGTTGCATATTTCTTTCTTTTTTCTATTTTTGTCCATCATGGGGCTTGAACTCTGGGCCTGGGTGCTGTCCTTCAGCTCTTCAGCTCAAGGCAAGTGCTCTACCTCTTGAACCACAGAGCCACTTTGGTTTTCTGTGGTTAATTGGAGATAAGAGTCTCACGGACTTTGCTACCCATGCTGGCTTTGGACTGCTCTCCTCAGATCTCAGCCATCAGTGCCTGGCTATTTCAATTTTTATACCTTCTGGTTATTATGAGTAATGTTTCTGTACCTATAGATGTCAAAATAAATTTGAAGTCTCTACTACTTGAGCCATATTAACCAGGGAAGCATAGGCTTCCCTGCTTTTTGCTGGTTAATTGGAGATGAGTCTCAATTTTGTCTGCCAGGGCTAGAAGTTGGTTTCAAACCAGTACCACTATTCTTCTCAGGTCTCAGCTTCCTAGATGAAGTCTCTGCTTTCAATTCTTTTGGGTATATACCCAGAAGTGGAATTTCTAGAACGCACGGTAATTTTATGTTTAATATTTTGAAGTGATTTTTTCCCAAAACTACCCACTGTTTATTTTTTTTAATTTCCATCAGCAATGCATAAGGATTCCAATTTCTTTATATTCTTTCCAAGAGTTACTTTGGTCTTGGTTTAGTTAACCATAGCCATACTAAAGGTTGTAAACATTGTTTCTTATTTGCATTTCACTAAAAGCTAGTCATAGACATCTTGTGCTTCTTGGACAAGTTGCTGACCTTCAGAGAAATAGCCAAGTCCTTTGTTTATTTATTTTTTTATTTTGTTTTGTTCATCATGGGGCTTAAACTTCGGGACTGGGCGCTGTCCCTAGTGCTCTACCACTTAGGCCACAGCACCACTTCTGGTTTTTGGGTGGTTAATTGAAGATAAAAGTCTCACAGACTTTACTGTTCCATCTGGGCTTCAGATCTTGATCCTCAGATCTCAGCCTCCTGACTAGCTAGGATTACAGTATAGTGTTAGCCATTGGCGCCCAGCTTGAGGAGTCTTAAGTTTTCTGCATGATAAGCAGGAAATGTTTCTCTTCTCCTTTTTTCCTTACTTTTTAACCCTGTTACTAAATTATTGCTAAGTTTTAAAAGTTATTTGAACTGAAGTACTGGGGCCTGAGTTCATGAACTCAGGGCCTGGGCTTGCCCCTTAGCTTCAAGGTTGTTGCTCTCTGTCACTTGAGCCACACCTCTACTCCCTGCCTTTGGGGGTAAATTGGAGAGTCTGGGACTTTTCTTGCCTGGGTGGGGGCCACCCACACACCAGTTTTGGTTTTATTTTGTTTTGTTTTTTAATGCTGATAATGGGGCTTGAATTCAGGGCTCCATAATGTCACTAGGCTTTCTTGCTCACAGCTGGTGCTCTACTTCTGGCATTTTGCTGGTTAATTGAAGATAAAGATGTCCACATAGTGGGCCTATAATTAGGTTCTAGCCACCTATTTATCAGTACTGACAGCTTATTTCTGTCATATCTGTATTAACACATACTCAGAGCCTGGCTCTTGTGGCTCATGCCTGTAATCCTAGTTACTCAGGAGGCTGAGATCTCAAAGACCTCAGCCTTCTGAGTAGGATTACAGGTGTGAGCCACCAGTGGCCAGCTGCAAGTAAAAATTGTTAGTGACAACTATAGTTTTTCACCTAAGATAAGGGCCGTATTCATTAACTTAATGCCATTGAACCAATACTTAGTACCATTGAACCTGTGTCTTCTGCTCTGAGCTTTTGCTTCTTCCTCTTCTGAGAAATGGAATTCATCTTATCTC